TGGAGTTCGCGTGGTCTGGCTGCGAGCTTCCCCAAAGCCCCGTGCTGACCGAACCTGACACCTGGGACGCTGCAACCATTGTAAATATGTGCCGGCTGCCAAGCACCCAAATTTTGATCATGTGACTGTGGGGTTGCTGTAATGGTCATAAGTGTGAGGACCAGTCGTAAGTCACTTTTTTCAGCACCGTCGTAACTTCAAATGGTCGCTAAATGAATGGTTGTAAGTCAAGGACTACCTGTAATACTTGGTCAAGAGCTAAGTAGGCTTAGTTGATTTGCTTTGATTTGGTGCTTAGGTATCTACTTTATATTTAACTTATATCACAGGACAGGAGGAAAACCATTTTACCATATGTGATTCCATTTAAAATAGAAGAATTTTTTTCTCTTGAATCTGACATGCTTGGTTTTCAGTTTCTCCCTCTAACTGCAGATAAGGGCATTCATTACTGTAGAAAATCCAGGGGCCTGCTGGCTAGCTGAAGACCCTCCAGTATTCTAGAAACACAAGCAAAGTCTTTGATAAGAGGCAGGAGAGGTGAAGTTCTGGGGGAGATGAAGCTGTTTGTCCCTGGGAAGCCTTGGTAGAAGCAAGGGCTTTAAAGTACAGACTTTGTCTGATTGAGCCTAGGAAATCAGGCCCAACACTCAAAAAGCCCTGTAACCACTGGAAGCTGGTGAGGGAAAGCGTGTACATATATCTGAAGGATTCTTTTCTTTTCAGTGCTGCTTGTGCTCAGCAATATAGACTTAATTTGTGATCCTGTCATCCCTTCTCCTCTCTGTTGGCTGCAGTTAATGATTGCTAAGTTTGGTATACAACTATCAGTCCTATGTAACGAGGTACATCTGAACTAGTCTTCAATACTTCCTTTGTTGGCTTTAATTTTTTCTTATTCAAGCATGGGGTTGTCCTAGGCACTACAGATTCCAAAACTGCTTGGGTTGGTAAATCTGATTAAGAGGGGAAAACTTATTTAAAAGCTTATTTCTGAAGAAGAGACATTTCCTGTTCTGTCCCATCCAAATTCCAGTTGAGGGGGGGAACTTCCCACTCAAGGAACAGGTGGTGGTAGCATAACTATCTGCCCCAGGAGAAACTCTCACCCAAGGAGAAGCCACAACCAGACATTCAGAGATCCAACTTCTGCAGCTACAAATATTATGGTATCTGAGGAGACTTGCATTTCAGCCTCCTTTCTAAAACCTAGTGAGACATAAACATTCTTAGAAACTTTGATCTTTGCATATCACGTGCTTAGCTATCTTGAACAGAGTGAAATCATATGGAACAACTTTTGTTTTTCAAGTAGTAAGAAAACAAGTGAATGATCAACACACATTCTCAATTATACAATATCCAAATTTCCAAAAAAAATTAGAAATAAGCATTTAACTGTAAGTTTTTAAAGGGGATTTCCCCCAGATCTATATTCCAGACTCTAGCCACTTACATATAGAATTTTTGAACCATCCCCAAACCATTGGCACACACAGAACCAGTTAGCATCATTTTGCTATGGATTATCTGGAATGCTATTTTCAACCACACTTCATTCTATTGTCCATTACTAGAATGGCAGATTCTATGATATATATGACACACATCTTTATTCTTCTCTAACGCATCTTCTGACTTAAAGCAAACCAATGAGCTTATCATTACCAATGGAATGCCATCTTTTCCTGTCCTCCTGGAGCAGAGGTATTTTATTGCACTCACTGCAGGCAGTACAAGGCTTAGTAAAGGCCTCTTTATTCATGCTCATTCAATCCACTCACCAGTGGGAAGTCTTCATTCCCAAAGACAGCTATGTAGGCCACTGTTTCCTGGTGTCCTTTTTCCTCAACTTTCAAAGTTAATGGGATTTCAACTGTGGCACGAGGTGGAATAATACCGCAAGGCACTGGACTTGAATACAAGATGGTAGGGGACTTCTCATATTCCTAGGTGGACATAAAAGCACCAAGAATTATCTGCTTTAAACCTTTCTACTTCTGTGCTGTCACCATCTCCTCCAGTAAAATCCACGTCTTTTGTTTTTTTTACTGTTCATGATAGAACTCTGAAAATTTATTTCAGCAAACCTTTCAGTGGCTGATTTCAATAGCATAAGAGCAACAAAGCAACAAAATATCAAGACATCCTTAAATCAAATGTTCAATAGCAAGGTAAACAAGAGTAGAGTTAAGAAATGATCATAACTGGACTGAGACATTTTATCTCTTCTTTTCTACAGGCACGTTATTAAATCCACTGTGCCTCTACCGTCGCTACCATTCAGTTCCTCGAGCAGAAGCCTTCTACCTGTACAAGGTTATCAGTCTGGAATGAAAAATCGCTCCTAGAAGCATCAGGACCTTCAAACAGAAAACAGAAAGCAAACAAACCTGGCGAAGAACACCATAGCATCCTGGAAGGTCACTGTTGTTAACAAGTTTTGCCATTTGTTGATATTGAAATTTCAGGAAACAACGTCCAAAATTCACAACAGGATTAGCCACATATAGTGGAGGTGTGAAGCATCTAGTTAATCGAAAAGCAAATAAATAAAAAACAGATTTTTAAAAAAATTCTAACCCACAATGGAGATGCAGAGAATAACACAATTATCATTCTGAGAAAGGTTCATCAGCTGGTTATGTAGATTTCTAAAACTTCACATACAGGTAGTCCTCTAGTTAACCATTCATTCAGCGACCATTCGACGTTACGATGGGGCTGAAAAAATGGACTTACAACTGGTCCCTGAAGTTACAGCCACTGCAGTACCCCTGCAGTACCCCTGCAGTCATGTGATCACAATCTGGGCACTTGGCAACCCGTTTGCACTTACAACCACGCACTCTGCAATCACATGATCGCCATTTGCAACTTTTCCTGCTTGCTTCCCACAAGCAAAGTCAATGGGGAAGCTGGCGGGGGAGGTTGCAGTCTCACCCGCCCACCCCAGCTTTTCTTCACTTGCATGCACCACATCCTCCTTCCCCCTTCATTTGCTCACAAGCACACAACATGGCTTCCTTCCCTCCTTTACACGCACCAGCACCTTCCTTCCCCCTTCACTTGCTTGCACGTGCTGCACCCTCTCTGCACTGTGCTGAGACTCTGGGGCTTTGCAGGAGGAAGGAGGAAGCTTCACAAATGGTCAGGAGCTTTCAATGTAAGCTGCAGAGTACGTGTCAGAGCTGCCCCTGGAGCAGTGCCTCTGGAGAGTCCTTGAGCGAGCGAAGGGGGAAGGAGGGCCAAGAAGCCCAAGCCACAGCGTGGCAAGCAGCCCCAGAGCTGCACGGTTCTGGGGCTACTTGCTGCCCTGCAAGGCAGGGTGCAGGGTAGCCAAAAGAGCAGAGATGGGGGAGAGATAGGCAGGTGGCAGGACCTGGAGGCAGTTCCTTACCTTACTGAGGTTCAAGGCTGGGAGGGACCAAGCCCAGAATGGCTTGGCTTGGGGTGGGTCCTCAGCTACAACCAGTGGAATTCATTTAACGACGACAATGGGGAGTGCCGGGATTGCCATCACTAAGTGATGCAGTCGTGTGATGTCTCACTTTACGACCGCATTGCTTAGTGATGGAAATTCTGGTCCCAATTGTGGTCGTAAGTTGAGGACTACCTGTAGTAAATTAAAAGTGAAGCTGCTGGAAGCAGACTCACACTTGATCCTAAGTATCAAGAGATGATGTGCCTTGAAATTTTGCTAGCAACCCAGTCTTTTTAGGTGTGAGGGCCAGACAAATATATTGCACAGAAAATCAAACTTGGATCTGGAAATTCCAGCTAGAGCTGTGCCAGGCATGTTCACAATACTCAGTCACTTACCCTTAGGCTCAAGTCCTTGTCAACACCATGGGAGTGTGACCTACCCTGTTTATGATACATCAGTGTGGTTTCTCTAAGCCTTAGGCAAAAGATGAGCTGTGCTCAGCCCAGAATTTCCTCTGCTACTTCTCACCCTAGTTTTAAAATGTCCTACCAATCTCCAGAAAAGGAAAGCAAAAGTGAATATCACCATAGGAGGCTGCTGTAAACCCCCAATTGTCTTTCTCATGTTCTACTGAGCTTTTCAAACAAAGGTATTCATTAATTAGCATAAGCTTCCAGCCAAATTATGTTCACATATTTAAAAATAATTTTAATGGAAGAGTATAAATCTCTTATATGTTCTACCTATATATTCATGTCATGGAACACAATAATTTTACTTAGTAATTGTTACTGTTTCAATTTAATTTTGCCTTTTTTTGTACCTTCAACTCAGTATTGACTCTTGGTGACCACCTGGACAAGTCCCTGCAGTTTTCTTGGCAAGGTTTTTCGGAAGTGGTTTCTCATTGCCTACTTCCTAGGGCTGAGAGGGAAGGATTGGCCCAAAGTCACCCAGCTGGCTTCATGGCTAAAGTGGGACTAGAACTCACCGTCTCCTGGTTTCTAGCCTGATGCCTTCACCGCAAGACCAAACTGGCTCTCTAACTATTATTACTACACTAATTCTAGAACTAGAATCATCATCACCTACATCAATAACTACCTCACTGATTAAAGTAAATGAAGCCTCAAAAAACCATGGGTGATTTCAATTACTCAGGCATTTGATGGAAGACTAATTCTGCCAGAAACAAAATGTGAGAAAAAATCTTGACTTGTGTTGGTGATAATTCCCTTTTTCAAAAGATGGAGGGGGCACAAGGGGACCTGCTACTTTGGATTGGATCCTTAATAACAGAGAGGAGTTGACTGAAATGGTGGGAACTATGGGTGCAAGTAATTACACACTGCTAGAATTCTTGATTTTAACACATTGTTTGGTAAAAGAACCATGCATCTTAGGAAGGCTGATTTTAATAAACAAAGGGGCACAGTAAAGAAGATACCATGGGGAGAAAACCTTAAAGGCAAAGGTGTGTAGCCAGCTGGGTTTTCCTGAAAAGGAAATTAAGGATAGCAGAGTTTCAAACAATACCATTGAAAAAGAAAAGTCAATGTGGTTGAACAGGCACTTCATGAAGGAACTGAGACTAAAGAAGAATGCTTACTGGAAATGGAAGGAAGAGTTTGCAAACAACAACTGTAAAGTGTATTGTCGAAGGCTTTCACGGCCGGCATACGATGGCTGGTGTGGGTCTTCTGGGCTGTGTGGCCGTGTTCTGGAAGTTTTGTTTCCTAACGTTTCGCCAGCACGGAGCAGTTCTCTCTGTGCCCAGGCACAGGCACTGCTCCTGTCTGTGCTCCTGCACTCTGAAGATGGGAGCAGTTCTCTCTGTGCCCAGGCACAGGCACTGCTCCTGTCTGTGCTCCTGCACTCTGAAGATGGGAGCAGTTCTCTCTGTGCCCAGGCACAGGCACTGCTCCTGTCTGTGCTCCTGCACTCTGAAGATGGGAGCAGTTCTCTCTGTGCCCAGGCACAGGCACTGCTCCTGTCTGTGCTCCTGCACTCTGAAGATGGGAGCAGTTCTCTCTGTGCCCAGGCACAGGCACTGCTCCTGTCTGTGCTCCTGCACTCTGAAGATGGGAGCAGTTCTCTCTGTGCCCAGGCACAGGCACTGCTCCTGTCTGTGCTCCTGCACTCTGAAGATGATCTCCCCCCGTGGGGTCAAAATGATCACAAGAATGGTGAGCAAAAATCCCAGAACCCCCCGGGGGGACCTAGTGAATGGCCTGCAGGGAGCTGGGCCCAAAGTAACCCACTACGCCGCCAGGGACTCAAATCCTGCAGTACCAGACGTGAGCTGCTTGCCTATTGCAGATTCAGTCTTCCCAGCCTGGTACAGGTCTACAATTTTGTTTCTGGGGTCCTTCGACGGCTCTTTGGTCTTGGCCATAGTGGAGTTTGGAGTGTGACTGTTTGAGGTTGTGGACAGGTGTCTTTTATACTGATAACAACATTCTCTCTCCTCCAAACACGATGAGTTGAGTTTAGACCAAAACGTTCTACTTTGGTTTCATCTGACCATATGACATTCTCCATTCTCTCTCCTCCAAACACGATGAGTTGAGTTTAGACCAAAACGTTCTACTTTGGTTTCATCTGACCATATGACATTCTCCTATGATTTGCAAATAAATTCTTTAAAAATCAGACAATGTGATTTTCTGGATTTTTTTTCTCATTTTGTCTCTCATAGTTGAGGTATACCTATGATGAAAATTACAGGCCTCTCTCACCTTTTTAAGTGGGAGAACGTGCACAATTGGTGGCTGACTAAATACTTTTTTGCCCCACTGTAGGAGCAACATCAGGAAGGCAAAAACAGAATATGAGCTAAGGCAAGAAAGGCAAAATCCAGTAAGAAAGGTATCTTCAAATATACCTTTGACAGCAAGAAGAGGTGGTGGGCCCACTCCAGATGGAGAAATGTTAACAGCTGACTAAGAGGAACTCAATTTCTATTTTGCCACTGTTTTTTTTTATACCCAAAGGAAATGGTAATCTGAGTTGCACAGTCTAGGAATGAGCACAACAGGGTATGCTGCAGGTCAGTAAGAATAGAGTGAAGAAACTTTTAACTAATTTGAATGCCTTTAAGCCCCAGGCTCTGAATAAATCTACCTTAGAATGCCAAAGGAACTGGTTGAAGAGATGTCAGGACCTCTGTCAATAATCTTTGAGGAATCTTGGGGAGGTGCCAGAGGACTATGATCAACAAGTGAGCTAACACTAATTCCTGGAAAGATGTTAGAGCAAGTAGTAAAGCAGAACATTTGACTGCTACAAGGGGTATCCTCAGATATTAGATTGGGCCATTTTCACTGATTCCTTCTCTTGTTCTCTCAATCTTTCCTAGTCTGTCCATTTTTACACTGTTAGATTTTATGTGATTTGGCCTTGGTTTCCTAAGTCTTGAAAAGGATTGTCCTGTTAACCCCATGTAAAATAGTATGGATGTGGGTTTAAGATTTTGTGTTGGTATAGTGTTTTTCAACTTTAGGAATGCTGGCTAGGAAAGCCTAGGGTTAGACCTCTCCTCCCCCCCCCCCCCCCCCCCCCCCCCCCCCACAGCAACTGGAACCGGCCATGGAGGAAGGAGGAGAACTACTGCAAAACAGTGCCTCCCACTCCCAACCCCCTAAGCCAGTCCACAGGGATACCATTAATGGTATTAAAAGCCACCAAGAGATCCAGGAGGGCCAGGATGGTCTCATCACTACCATCCCAAGCCCTCCAAATGTCCTGTTTCAGGCTTCAAATTCTCTCTCTCTCTCTCTCTCTCACACACACACAGAGTTACTAGGTGAGAATAGTGATTTACAGTACTCAAGACTGAGCAAATAACAGCAGACGAGGGAAGGAATGTAAATCAACAAAGTCTCTTGGAAAGAAAGCTTGCCTGAGTGGTTTCACTTTCAACAGGAGCATGCAGAAGAGTAGTCAAAATCCAGTCCAAAGTTCAGAGAGCTAAGCCAGGTTTGTCAGCCAGTCCAAGGTCAGAGTTTCATGAGCAGGATTCACAAGAATGACATGCCAGGGCAGGAAATCAGACGTTTCCAGCAAAGAAACATGGGTCAGGGCTGCTTCAATGAGTATCTTTGTTCTGCTCTCTGCTCTATTTGCCGAATCCAAGGGCTTGGCAACCCATGCCTCATCATATGACTGCTTCAGCTGTTCTGATGGTGCCTGTGTTTGATCAGCCTTAGGTGATTCCTGGCTTGGTCTCTCCTGAGGCTGATACTCCACAGGTTCAGCTGGAGCAGTTTTTTCAGAGTCAAAGTCTGAGTCCTGGGCCATGACACCAGAGGTCATCCACAAGTGCGACCAATGCCATCTAAGTACTGTAGCCTGGCCTGAACCCAGACTAAAAACTAAAAAGATTAAAAAGTGTTCAGATAATCCACTTACCCAGGCCCTCTGTGGCTGAGCACCAACCACCCTCTCAACAATCTTCTCTAAAAAGGAAGTTTGGAAACTAGACCAAAGTTATCCAATACTGTTGGGTCCAAGGATGAGAAGGGGTGCACTACCACATCGTTCAAGGCAGGTCGTACCACTCTCTTACACAAAGAGGCATTAATCACAGTTTGAACACAGCCACATGACACCTCCTGGCAGGCCTTGACCAACTAGGAGAGGCATGGGTCCAGGACACAGATGGCCGAGCTCATAGGGACCCTGTCCACTTCCTCAGGATCAACCATCTCAAACTCATCCCACATATCCAGACTCAGACATGTTTCAGTCACTTCTAAAGTATCTGCCCAGCCAGAGTCCAATTCTGAGCAAAGTCAAGTGATTTTGTCCAACGGATGCCAGCCAACAATATTCCTCAGAGTGGCCCTGCCAAGGCTCCCCTGGCTCTACTTTACCCTGAAGTGATCGGGTCACCTGAAACAGGGTCACTGGCTGGCTATCTGTAGATGCAATATGAGCAAAGAAGTAAGTTCATTTCATTGCCCTTATTGCAACAAGCTCTAAGAAAAGCTCTTCTCTGCTCTCAGTCGGCTTCACTCTTTGTCTTTCACCAGCAGGGCTCTAGCAGTCTCTTGCATTGCTTCATCTCTTGGAGCTCCTCGGTGAACCAGGCACTTTCCAGGATCCAGGCCACAGAGAGTCTGCACAGGTGCAATCTCATTCCAAAGTGCAACAAGGGCCTCAGCTGAACCTTGTGCCAGCTTCAGGAAAATACCAGTTCCCTCTGATACCACAAGTGCCTGGGGCAGGCTGATCAAAGAGACCCCATCTTCCTGCAGTAGGGGCAGCTACAGGGAACTCCAGGGCCAAAGGGGCACGATCTATCCATGGCAAGGGACTAATATACCTGAGAAAGACTTGCGAGCGGTCAACACAAGTCAGTAGTGTAAGAGGCTGCTAGAAGGACTAACACAGTTCTGGGCTGAATCAGAAAAAGCACTGCATCACAGACAAATTAAGTCATTATTCCTCTCTATTTGGCCTTGGTGAAACAACACCTAGAGTATGATGTATGATTCTACATTTCCGGGAGGATACTGACTGATTAGAACAGGTTCAGAGGAAAGTAACAAAGATGATAAAGGACTTAAGGATATGCCATATGATGATAGGCTGAAAGAACTAGGGATGATCAGACTGAAGAAGAAAATGGAGGGAAGCTGTGTTCAGATACATAAAGGAAATCAACAGGGAAGATGGTCAAGAACTATTTTCTCCAGCTACAGAAACTAGGACTAAAATGACAAGTTGCAGCTACCTAGAATTTGTTTAAACATAGGGAAAAACTTCCTGACTGTAAGATCTGTACAACTGTGGAACAATATAAACGGTGTGGGTACTTCATCTCTAGAAGTTTTTAAGAAGAGGCTGGACTGCTCCCTCTCATGGGTGGTTTAAATAGCTTTCTTGCACACTGCAGAAAGTTGGACTAGATGATCCTCATGGTCCCTTCCAGATCTACAGTCCTAAAATGCAATAAATTAATTACTGAAATTTATATCTTACTTTTCCTCCAGAAGTTAAGGAATGTATATAGCAACATTCCTTCAATTTTCTCATGATAACCACTCTATGAGATAGATTGGGCTGAGACATTGTGACTAGCTCACAGTCACTCAGTGAACTTCCAAAGTCCTAATTCCAATACCAAAAGAAGGAGATTTAACAGAATGTGCAAACTATCATACATCTTTAATTTCGCATGCTAGGAAAATAATGGTTAGGATCATCCAATGCAGATTAGAGCCCTGCTGTTAGCCCTGCGAAGTAGTCCAGACAAGAAGCACAATCAAGAGTACTAGCTCTATCTTTACTGTAAGGTTGCATTAGCAGAATCTTGCAAGACTGAAAGTATTTCTCCCATCCTTTCCATTTACTCTCTGGAAAACCAGGGAGGGTCCCTTCTGAAACATCTCCCAGGCAATCCCCCCTTCTGTGGACTGAGTCATCTTTTACATGCTGGTTGTCCCGTCTGTGGCTGTCCCTCCTGTCTCCCAAGGTCATTCCCACAAGCCAATACACCTGCATGGAAAAAGAAATGCCAGATGTTCAAGCTGGCTTTAGAAAAGGCTGAGGAACATCAGAAATTATTGCTAATGCATGATGGATAATTGAGAAAGCCAAAGAATAACAAAAATAAGTTGTTGTTGTTAGATTTTTATCCTGCCTTTTTTTACATATATTTTGGTCAACTGAAAGCGGCAAATATACTTAATACTCCTGCCTCTTATTTTCCCCATGACAATAACCCTGTGAGGCAGATTGGGCTGAGAGAGAGTGACTGGCCCAAAGTCACCCAGCTGGCTTTCATGCCTAAGGGAGGCCCAGCCCTCAAGAGTCTCCTGGTTTCTAGGCCAGCACCATTAACCACTATACCAAACTGACTCTCAGTATCTGCTTCATTGATTATAGGAAAGGTCTTCGATTGTGCCGATCATGCCAAGCTATGGAATGTGCTCAGAAAAACGGGAATCCCAGAGCATTTCATTGTCCTCATGAGAACCTTATATATAAGTCAGGAAGCCACAGTATGGATAGAACAAGGTGAAACAGACTGGGTCCAGGTTGGCAAAGAAGTGCAACAAGGCTACATTCAACCTATGTACTGAATATATATTAAGGGAAGCTGGATCGGAAGAAGATCACTGTGGTTTTAAAACTGGAGACAGAAACACCAATAATCTGTGTGTTATGCTGATGACACTATCCTGATAGCCAAAAATGCAAAGGATTTGCAATAGTAATAAAAATCAAGGAGCAAAGTGAAAAAATGGGACTAAAATTAAATATAAACTAATGACATCAGATAGAACAACCAGCTTTAGAACTGACAATGAAGATATCAAAGTGGTGGATAACTTCTGCCTTTTAGGATCAACCTTCAATAGGAAAGGAACAAGCAGTCAAGAAATACGCTGCAGACCAGCACTTGGTAGAGCAGCCATGAAGGCCTTGGAAAAGATATTCAAATACCGTGATGTCTTTATACCTTCAGAATTGTGCAAGCCATGGTGTTCCCTGTGACACTCTATGGAAGTGAAAGTTGGACTTTGAAGAAGCAGGAGAGGAAGAGTATTGATGCTTTTTAACTTTGGTGTTGGAGAAGAGTCCTGAGAAGACCACGGACAGCCAAGAAAACAAACCGATGGATCATTGAACCAATCAACCCAGGGTTCTCGCTCAAGCACCAATGACCAGGCTCAAATTATCCTACTTCAGACACATTAAATGAAGGCCTAGCAGCTCTCTGGAGAAGGCTCTAAAGCTGGGAAAGGTAGATGGAAAGAGGAGAACGATCAGCAACAAGGTGGATGGACTCAGTTACAGTGTCATCGCTGTACACTGTACAACAGTACACTGTTGGAAGACCTGAAGGACTAGGTTGGAGACAGACCCTCCTGGAGAAAATCCATCTATGTGGTCACTAACAGTCAACAATGACTTGATGGCACATAATCAATCAATCGATCGATCGATCGATCAAAATTCAGTATCTTAATCATTGTGCCTCACTTGAAAAGGCTTGTGAGTATACAATCAAATTATTATACCTGCAGTTCTAATTGCCACATTTAAGAATGGCATTCTATTTAATTGGACTGGAATTGGGATCAAAATGCTAACAACTTATTTACTGATACTTGGGTCATAACATTCCATGTTATCTTGTTTAGAACCGAGACAAAGGTTGGAGTAGCCATAAATGCCACAGCATTCCAGCATTGCAGCAGTGAAATAAACAGTACCTTGCTGAAATTGGAAGTGCTAGTACATCTTCACCACTACCCTTTACATCCACTACCAGAGCAGTTTCATATATCTTCACTGTGTTTGAACATATGGTCACCTGCAACAGAAAAAGAAAACAAGGATTCTCACATTTTCTGAGAGACTACTATTTGCATTCCAGCTTTGACATTTACAGTGGTACCTCGGGTTACAAACACCTCTCTTAACGAACTTTTCGGGTTACGACTAGCTCCGGGCGCAAAAATTTACCTCGGTTTGCGAACTCCACCTCGGGTTATGAACCAGATCCACGGCCATTTTCCCTCCCGTGACACGGTCCGCGGCCATTTTTACGCCCCTGACACGTGGTCCGCGGCCATTTTTACGCCCCTGACACGTGTTCATAGGGAGGGGGACTCTCCCTCCAAACAAAAGCCGCCTCCTCGTCCTCCACGCCA